CTGAAACTGCTATGTTTATAGAAAAAAGGGATAACCCTAGATGGACCAGGCACCGAGACCACCTCATTAAGCTGAAGTGGTCTGGGTGCCTATAGTAAGTTTCACCAAGTCTGAAAGAAAAAGACTTCTCCCAGGGTACAGTCTAGGGAGGAGCAGTAGATCTGTGTCGGTGGAAGCACGGATTTATTTTCCTTGCTCCCTCGATATGGTCTGCCTGGACACAAGATAATCTGTTTGTCTCAGGTGAGCAGACAAGAATAAGCTATATCTCCTCGTTCTCACACTAAGAACTACAAATACAGATTACAGGGCCGTGAAAGGCTCCATGATAATATACCATCTTAAACCACTAGCGTTATGCCAATGTCTATATTAAAACACTAATGCTTTAGCAGTCACAGTAACAAAAGGTACAGCATTATCCAGATGTAAATCCTAGAATTCTCTCTTTAGCAGTAAAATGAAAATAAGCCTCACTATAAATAACTATATGGTTAAATGCAGCAAGACCCCAGGTATCACATGATATAATTCTGTGCCCAGTCCAAAATACATTGTGTTGGCCTCTCCCTCTTGACACGGTTTATTTAGATGAAATTTACCGTCAGCTCTGGTTGTGCTTTTTGAGGATCCCAGATTATAGACAAACAGGGTGAATATGGCAAACCTGTCTGCCTGCCTGCCTGTCTGTCTGTCTATGTATTGATCGGATTGTATGCCTACTGATTTATTCATTAAATGGATTTATGTAAACCATAAACAGAGCGAGCCATGTTCTATATGTCCTTACAGTACTCTGTACAATAGTCCCAATGCTACCACTATACTACCTATTTCCCCACTATAGACCTTGTCACCCCACTATAGCCCTGTCACCCCACTATATTCCCTGTCATCCAATTAACCCACTATCCACTCCACAATAGTCCCTATTCTACCACTACAGCCCATATTCCCCCCAGTATAGCCATCCTGTCCCCACTATATACACTCTCTCCCCCAAATAGCCACTATCCTTCCACTGCATTCCCAATACTTTCACTATAGCCACTGTCCTTCCACTACAGCCTCTATCCTTCCACTAAAGCCTCTCTTCCCCAACTACAGCCCCAAATGCAACACAACAAACAGCCACCTCCAGACACACAACCCCAAAAGCAACATTCTCACAAACAAACATACAACACCACAAGCAGCCGCCACACTCCCCAGCCATGTCCCACTTATCATTCAGCCACCCACATAGTCACATTCCCCATTCAAATATAGCCCAAACTAGTCGTATACATGCATCCAACCCAATTCTCCAAACTTTGCATTTATATATATTGCTGGGCTGGGAGAGGGGGAGGGTGCATTGAGTAAAATTGCCCCTGTGTCCACATGCCATCATTATCCAGACATTTCTCATTCACTGATGTAACCCCATAAAGAAAAAGTTGCCAGAATATGTTTGCTCTCAAAATAAATTTGTCTACATTGACTTTCATACCCTACTTACCTGCCCAGTCTCTCAATATCCAATTTTTAATTTCAGAAAATATTTTCTGGGTCACTGACGTCAATAACTCGGTTCAAGAATGGAGATAATTAAGGGGATTTCACAGATAGAGAAATAACAGAATAGGTTACTTTTTTCACTCCACTTACTTTGGTCTGAAATTTGAAATCCTCCGACAATCGTTCACAATTCCCATTTCAGTGAATACATTCCGGTGTCGTCTTCTTACATTTTGATCTAAAATGAGCATAGAGCAAAATAAATGTAACCATTCACTGTTCCTTATTGTTAATTTAGAACTGCTTCCTTTGTTCTTTGACCAGTCTTATCTTGCTTTTAATGTAAAATTCAGTGATGACACTTATTGTGAAAATATATTTGCTCTGCAGCTAATATCTCATCATGAATACAAACATAAAAGACCTACAAGACGCACTACACTGCCGGAGGGCAAGCAGCTATAATATTAAAAATAATATATATTGTTTTAAAGAAACCATCAAAACACCTTGTATTGGTTTTACGGCAATGATCTCCTCATTCTTGCAATGTTCATTAGAGACAAGGCAATTTGCTTAAATTACTGCAGCGATATCTCCCCCATCTCGGGGTAAATCTATAATTCATGAATGAAACGAATGCGCTTTAAAGAGCGAAAACTCAAAAATGCCAAACAGCCTCTAAGGTGTCTCCCCTGTATTGTCGGGGTCAATTGTAGACCCTTACTTAACTACCCAGGAGTAGTAGTGGGATACAGCAAGGATCACAGGAGACCAAGCAAGGTGGATAGTTGAAAATCGGCTTTACTTTAGATAAAATAATATATATATATATATATATATATATATACAAACAGGCCCTAAATATTTATTCCCTTGCAAGGGACTTCCTCATGGACCAAATCAAATTTAAAAAACGATAAAAATATTAAAACAGCCATACCCTTCCCTACCAAGTCCCACTTTAAATACTCCCTCACTCTTCTTCACTGGTCCTACAGGTGGTGTGTAGATCCTTGCTTGACTCCAATCCCCTGGATAGTCATTCATCTCGGCTGTATAATGATCCATCTCAGCCATTTAATCCTTCTCTCTTATTTCATTAATTCGCGCTCACTTCCCGTCACACGCCCAAAACAATCTTAAAGGGAATCTATAGTGTTAGGAATACAAATTTGTATTCCTAACACTAAAGAACGTTCTGGTCCCCCCTCCCTCACACCCCCGGATTTACTTATCTGATTCCAGCATCCATGTCCCTCATTGCTGGCTCAGCTTTCCACCTACTCTGACGTCATCCATCCAACTGATGACCACTAGAGGCAGTCTTAGTCCTGCAATATAATTATTGCAGTTTCTCTGAAGTGGGACTTAGTGGGACTAGGACACTGCAGTGTGTCTGAGTGACTATAGTGTTCCTTTAATGTGTCTGAGTGACTATAGTTTCCCTTTATTAACGGAACCTTGAAAATATCTAGAAAATGTTCAATAGACAAACCTATTTTTGTTTTCTTGCATGACTCATTCCTAAGGAAATGTTAATATTTTGGTAGATGGAGGTGAACTTAAGCACTGATGTTTATGTGCATTTTCTTAATGTGGTTTCTTAAATGGATTCCCATACTAGTCCGAATTTCTGACGTCTGTTTATTTTTATTTTCAAAATATTTTCAAGTTTCAGTTACATTAAGATTTTGTTTTATTGTTTTATTGTTTATAACATTTTATTTGGTCCCTGAGGAAGACCTGTTTGTATATATTATTTTATCTAAAATAAAGCAGATTTTCTACTATCTGTCCTGCTTGGGTTCCTGTGATCCTTGCTGGAGAGAGGGTCTACAGTTGCCACCCCCCCCCCCACCACCATTAAGGGGAGGCACCCTAGAGGGTGTTTGACATTTTCCATCTTGTGAGTTTTCACTCTTTAAAACACACAATACTATTTGTAACTCTATTACACTATGTTGTGCTTCATTCTGATATAGGTGTAGTCGGTTCCCCAGGTTTTTTTGTGATATACATACATTGCCTCAGAAGGAAGTTTGCTGGTAACTCCATGGGGAGGCTGTTTTTATAATTACCCACACCAGCTGAGTATTAATACTTGGTGGAGGGATTTATTTGTACATTTAAAGTTCTATAGCCTGACCCTGAATTGACTGATCACTTGAAACAAATACATTGAATCAGTATTTAATCCAATCTATTGACATCGATATTTGAACTGCGAAATTCAATTTCAGTTTATTCTCATTAATTAAATTGATTGGCCTTTTGGGGAATTGATTAATTTCGATCAGGTAAAATGTTGAACAACAATATTGAACGATGATGTCCGTCTTCAACCTCCAATTATCAATATGACAAATTCCGAGACAAGCTTCTGGCATTTTGGTGTTTTATATTATAATGCTTGGCTTCTTTCTAATACTTCCGCAAAATGTTTAAATTTAAATATTTGGCAAGATTGTTGATAATCTGATGAAAATGATCCTTTGTATACTATTGTTAGCAAAAGTATTTATAAAGTTAAATGTTTGCTTTACAGTGTTACTCTAAGCACTATAACAACTTTGACTACCAGGGCCGCCATCAGGGGGTGACAACCATAACGGTTGTCATGGGCCTAGCGGCCCTTGGGGGCCCAGCCGCTCGGGCCCAACGTGGAGTGGCGAAAATGCCGCAGGTGCATCTGCATTTAGGACCACCAGATGAGCCCTATATCTTCAGGGGCTCAGTCAGTGCTGCAGCCGTGTAATAGCGGGACGAGCCCCTTTTTTAAAGATTGTGGCTGCACCAAAAGTGCTGCTGGGAGGAAGTGACGGCCGTTCACTTCCTCCCAGCTTACTCCACGCGGGAAGGGGAGAGACCACAGAGGAGAGCCGAGGATAGAAGAGGCATCCTTTCCCATCATCCCCAGCCACAGTCCTGCAACTTAAAGGTAAGGAAGAGGAGGGAGGCTGATAAATGAGGTGTGTGTTTATATGTGTATGTACCTATGTCTGTTTGTCAGTATGTATGTATGGATGTCTGTGTGTGTGTGTGTGTATGTGAGAATGTATGTATGTATATATCTACCTATCAGTATGTATGTCTGTGTGTATGTATGTATATATCTATTCTCCCCAAACAGAAATGAAAATGTTGAAACAATTTAGAGTATACAAAGCATGCAGGTAATATGAGATACACAATAATAAGTCTTTCGCTCAAACTCCCACTACTCCTGGGCAGCAACAACAACCATAGCACACATCAGCCCCAATACATACAAAACAAGCAAAGAAAAAAAAAAAGTTACCTGCGCCCTAGCCCAAATCCCTGCGCATATTTAGCTTCAGCTTTAGGGAGAGAAATCTCTAATGAGACAGAGAGGGGTATTTTTCTAAACCCCTACATACTTATTAACCCTTATTGGGAACACATGGGGTGGACGACAGCACTGTAACAAGGCTGTGTGATACACAAGTAAATACAAATACACAAGAGTTAGTCTGCGTATCACACAGCCATGTTACAATTCTGCCGTCCACCCCATGTGTTCCCTATTAATGGCTAATAAGTATGTATGATTCAAAAAAATACCCCTCTCTGTCTTATTAGCCATTAATAGTGAACACATGGGGTGGACGGCAGCATTGTAACCTGCATGCTTTGTATACTCTAAAGTGTTTCAGCATTTTCATTTCTGTTTGGGGAGAAGTCATCTTGTTCTGTAAGCAGTCAAATTATGTACAATATAAAATAGCACATCATATTTTTTACTTAATGTTAATTTGGAACTTTATAGACTCTATCAAATCATGACCAGTGAGGTCTGATTTAATATTGAACAATAATGTATTATGTTCCCGGAATTTAAAATTTTTGAAGAGCTAAATGAAACATATTTATACATTCTCATTTGTGTTTGTTTACCTCATGCGTCCCGCAGATCAAATCGCTGTCATTTTACATTAAGTACATCTAATTACACAGTACTATTTATGAAAGTACATTGAATTTACATATAAGTGCATTTTTGTTGCATCTAATTAAATACACTTAAAATATAACAATGTTCATCTATGCTAGTGAGCAGTTATAAAGTAATGGTGGGGTTTTTGATTAGAGTACAGCAATTACTTTGTGAAATTATAAAGTACGAAAAAACATATGTTGTTAAAAAGTTGTGATTTTATGTAAAAACACAATAGAAGCCAAGAACATTACCGGTACAATAGACTAGATAAGGGGTTTAGCACTCCAGATGGTCTGGACTACATCTCCGATAATGCTCTGTCAGAATATTTATATCGACAGACATTTTGTACTAAAATAGAAATTAAAAGTGTCTATTGCCAGAGTCACTCAAAACAAAGCGGACTCCATTTTGCTATCTTCAGTCTAACAAAGACAGACACAAAAATGTATTTCCTTTCTGTAACTAGCCAAACCAGGCTGAGTTTAGGAATGCTTTATGTAAACAAAGCAATGAAATCTCCCAGCAAGTATGGGGGATGGATTACTCAGTCCAGAAACAAGTACCGTATTTTCCGGCGTATAAGACGACTGGGCGTATAAGACGACCCCCAACTTTTCCAGTTAAAATATAAAGTTTGGGATATACTCGCCGTATAAGACTACCCCTCTTCCAATGCACACCAAATAAAAATTAGCCATGATGTACAGTGAGCAGACAGAGCTACACAGCAAGACATTAAATAATAATAATCTGAAATAGCATTTAAAGCCAGGCTGTTTGGGCATATAATCCATGCCTGCTGGTCTAGCACACAGGAGGCTAATTGCGATTTATTCTTTTTACTCCCCCCCCCTCCATTCTTTTTACACCCCCCTCCATTCTTTTTACTCCCCCCCCCAATCCTCCCTACGTTCTTCTCACCTCCCCTTCCCTGTGCAGAGTGGGTGGCCAAGCTCCTCTTCGTCCTGTCAGTCCGGCCGGGTTAAGCGCGGTACAGTAGATTCAGTTACCTGTTCCCGGCCGGACTGAAAGGAAGTGAGCACTCAGTGTGGACTGACAGGACGAAGAGGAGCTCGGCCACCCACTCTGCATAGGGAAGGGGAGGTGAGAAGAGATGCAGTGCGGCAGCAGTCTGAGCGCTCTCCACTATTACTCTACTATTAGGTTCCACTATTACACAGCAAAAGATTCGCTGCTGACCGCCGCGCGCAAACTCCCATCGCTACCTGAACCGTTCCAGGGGGTGCAACTGTACGCAGACCTATCCGCTCTCACAATGAGCCGACGGAGGGAATTCATCTCGGTCACAAAAACTCTCCGCAACCACGATGTCTCATACCACTGGGGCTATCCCACTAAAATTATCATTTGGAGGAACAACAAAAACCACGTTGTCGAGGAACCAGAGGACGGAATGCGCCTCCTGAGAGAATGGGGACTTTTCCAGTCGCCGGACCAGCAAGCGCAAGCTCCGAAACCGCAAAGGAAACTCACAACTGAATGGCACATGGCGGGATCGCCAAGAAGAGACAAATGAACTCTCCTCACACAACCCTCCTTCCCTCCACGAAACTGACCGCGTGCCAAGACGGAAAGAAAATGGACGCTGAAGAAGACCATAACGCTGCGTAATGTATATGGCTCCAACTCATATTTATTTCAAGGCACTTATGTTTAGTGAGTCTTACAGCTGATGGGAGGGAGGGCTCACAAAGGGCACACAAAAACAAAACAAACAAAAAAAAAAAGTACACACAACTACTTAATTGAGAGTAACGTATACAAGGCTGTCTGTATAATTTAAGCTATGTACGATCGCACACTTAAGGGGTCCCGGTTCTGGCCGAACCACCCAGGTTATCTTTAATCCCCCTGTTGGGCTTGCCTCCCAAGCATTCCGCGGGGAGGTCGCCCCAACAACACTGACGTCCCTATCTAGTAGGGAAATTATGTATATACTTTGTTTTCTATGTTTATGTATATGTTTATGTTTATTATGTTATCTGGAATCACTGTACTGAACTATGCTCCACAGGACCACATTACCCGTCAGGAGGGAACAATGTTAGAGAGGGGAGGGAGACCCCAGAGCACTCACACACTACCGCAGTACACCTATTCACCCCTAATGTCAAAGCGAATCCCACTAGGGACCTCCAATATAGCGGACACCCACAAAATCTAGCCATGGGGACACCTAATACTATGACCCTTTTCTCCCTGAACGTGAAAGGCCTTAATAGCCCCCATAAAAGGAGGTTGGCGGCATGCGACATCCAAACCTCTGGGGCGGCCATAGCCTGTCTGCAAGAGACACACTTCTGCACTCGCAACCCCCCAAGATTTGCAGTCCGGCACTATTCCCAAGCATATCATGCACACTCCCCAACAAAATCAAAAGGGGTTTCCATATACTTTCACGACGACTGGGCGTTCACACCAAACCACCAACATACAGGACGAGACGGCCGGCTACTTATTTTAGTTGGCACATTAAATGGCATACTAATAACGATTGTTTCACTATACGCCCCCAACGAGAACCAAACAGCATTTCTCACAAAAGCATTAAAGCAGGTAGCGAAACACAAGAAAGGACATGTCATTATATGTGGAGACTTCAATTGTACTCCGGATCCCCACCTAGACATTCAACGCACACAGAACAGAGGTCCAAAAGGGGCATCACTTACACTGGGGCGACACCTAAGCCGACTACTATTTACACAAGACCTATACGACTCATGGCGCTGTCTCTATCCGAGAACCAAAGATTACACGTATTACTCCCCGGTGCACATGACACACTCCAGGATAGATCTATGCATCACAGATAAAACCACACTGACACACATCATGGCAGTCGCAATAGGCCCTATCACATGGTCCGACCACGCGCCGCTCACGGTGACCCTTCGGGTCCCGTACCCGGCCCGTGGCACGGGATCCTGGCGCCTCAATGAGGCTCTTCTGGACCACCCCAACACCTACTCATCCATCCTAACCCAACTAACTGACTTCTTCTCACTACACGAATCCTGCACCACGCCCATCACAACTCAATGGCTAGCACACAAGGCAGTTATGCGAGGAGCTCTGATACAGGCGGGAGCCAGGGCGAAAAAACAACACAACACAACGAAGGCTGAAATCCTCGCAAAACTCGCCGCATTAGAGTCCCAACACAAAACCACACCACATAAAGCGACACACAAGCAGATACAACGACTCAGAACTGACTTACACAACCTTGAAATCGCCACAACAGAGAAGCATATGCGCTACCTTAAACAATCCCACTACACTTACGGGAAACAAGGCAGGCAAAGCACTTGCTAGGAAACTAAAGCAGCAATACTTACACACGAAAATACCGTACATACTTTCCAAGACGGGGGACAAACTATACAACCCACACCACATTGTGGAGGAATTGGCCTCCTTCTATGCCTCCCTATACCAGCTTGACAGGGACCCCCAAACTCACCAACCGTCTGAAGAAGAAATCACCCGCTTTCTGAACACTACCCACATCCCATCCATAACCAGACCACAACAGGAGCTATTAGAAGCCCCATTCACTTGCGAAGAAGTGGCCAACACGATAGCCAGCTTACCTAAACACAAATCGCCTGGCCCGGATGGGCTATCCAACTACTACTATCACAAACTAGGCACCACACTACTTCCGCATATCACCAAACTCTTCAATTATATCAAACAAACTGGGCAAATCCCTAGGGAAATGCTGGAAGCGTTTATAGTCACACTACCCAAACCAAACAAATCCCCGACGATGTGCGCGAACCTAAGGCCTATTTCCTTACTCAATGCAGATATCAAGCTGTATGCTAAACTGCTTGCAAACAGACTTAAACCCTTGTTCCCGACTCTGATCTCCGAGGAACAGGCAGGATTTGTCCCAGGCAAGCAAGTAGGCGACAACACTAAACAGTTCATCAACCTCATAGAATGGGCCCACTCCACACAGCAAGGGGGAGTCCTTTTAGCGCTCGACGCTGAAAAAGCGTTCGATCGTCTGAACTGGAAGTATATGACATTAACACTCGCCCGAATGGGCATTCCCCAAGAGTTCTTGGCCAGCATTTTAGCTCTGTACCAAGAACCCTCAGCTAAAATTTTTAGCACCGGCTTTCTATCGACCCCACTAGACATCCGAAACGGCACACGACAGGGCTGCCCTCTTTCCCTGCTCATATTTATCCTTTGCCTAGAGCCCCTCATAAGGCATATAAAACAAACAAGAGGAATCCAGGGCATAGCTACTCCGCGAGGCGAACAGAAACTGGCATTATTTGCCGACGATATCCTCCTGTACCTCACAAAGCCGGAGCACTCTATTCCACAGTTGCAAAAAATTCTTGACACATACAGCGCAGTATCCTTCTACAAAAACAACACCGCAAAAACACAAGCTCTCCCAATACTACTACCACACACCCTTACGACAAAACTTGAGCGCACATACACGTTCGACTGGAGGAAAAAGTCACTCTCCTACTTAGGGATCAAACTTACTAAATCAACACATACACTGATAAAAGAAAACCACATTCCCCTGATCCACAAACTTGTAACACAGGTAACAAAATGGGAAGACCTAGAGATTTCCTGGCTAGGACGCATCAACACGGTTAAGGTGATGGTTCTTCCGCACATACTCTACCTGTTCAGA